GTTCCGTCTGGAGGTTCGAGCACAGTTTCTAACAAACTGGAAAAAACTCCCGGATAGAGTGATCACAACAACGAATGTGATAAGCTTCAAGCACAAACTGGCTGACTGCTGGCTGGCTATATTCCCTGATTTGGAGTGATCAGTGCAAGGTGAACCATAAGCCATCCGGAGAGCCCCATGCTAAAGTTAGTCCTATATCTTGTTTCGTTTATCCTTTTCCCTATTATCCTTCTAGTCTGTAACAACTAACTCGTATTTTCTTTCTTTTATAAAATAAAACTCTTACGTTCTCCTAGTCTTGATTTACACCTTATACTTGCCCGCCGGTAGAGCAGACTTGAATTTCTCGCATAGAAACCGGTTCAGGCGATGACCCTCTGTTGACTGGAGCCCACTGATATTAGCGCTTGATCATTCCAACATCTCATTAGCACATCAATCTGCCCGTCATCCAGAAACTCAAAGTGAAGGATCAAGAACGTCTCCTTCAGTCGAAGCACAGAGGGATCGTATCAGAACTCACAAATGCAAGGAACTGGACGCATTGGCATCAGCCGCAAGTTCTGTGTATCCAACCTGACCTGACCTGACTTGAACTCAACTGAACTCAGGGTGGGGCAGTGGAGGTATGTTAACTAAACTTCAGCAAGGCTTTTGACTCGTTGAGTCTTACGTTAATGGACAGGAAGCTACTAACGTTTGGAATAGTCGGGTCAGCGCATTAGTGGTTGAAGCATTTTCTCAAAAACGGTAGCTTCACTGTACAGGTCGGTAGCTACACTTCGCGATCAGATACGGTTACAAGCGAAATGCCCCAAGGCTCCGTTCATGAGCCCTTTCTTTTCCTTCTCTCCATCAACGATCTTACGCTAGAATTGCAAAATCCCTGCTTCATCTTTGCAGACGATGTGAAGATAGCGAGTGAGAACTTAACCCGGGACCTAGATGCAGTTTGTAGCTGGTCGGCTCGATTTGATCCACCCCTGAATCTTGCCAAGCGTCAGCTACTGACTACCAATGTAGACTTAACCGGGGACGCAGCGCTACGTGGCATGACAGAGGTTAAGGACCTAGGAATAATTGTCACAAAGGACTTCCGGCCTACAAGACAATGTCAGGTGGCTGCAAATAAAGCAAGAGGAGTACTCTTCAGGCTGCGCGCCACATTTACATGCAGGAAGACATAAATGTTCGTTCCACTGTACAAGGCAATGGTGCGCCTACTGCTGGAATACTGCGTGCAAGCTTGGACCCCATACTATCGCAAAGATATGGAGTGTCTAGAGAGGGTACAAAGACTGGCAACCAGAATGGTCACTGGACAGATAGGAAAGAGCTACTCGCAGCGTCTGAAGGACCTGAATCTCTTCTCGCTGTCACGCCGAAGGACCAGAGGTGAATTAATAGAAGCCTTCAACATAGTAAAGAGGTTGTCGGGCATAGAACTAAGCAGCCTCTTCGTTCCTGCATCAGAATGCGGCACTAGAGATCAAAGACTTAAGCAGCAAAGAGAGCCCTCCAGGTTGGAGTTGATGTCCAAGATCTTTAAAAACCGCGTGGGATAGATTGCCGGAGAATGTCATAAGCTGCTCAACAGTTGTGGCCTTTAAAAAGGCCTTGAATCTGTGCTGGGAAGTGGTTTTCCAGAAGCTATCCACTTGAGGAATGATAAAGGAACAAGGTGAGTTCATTCCCACATTGACGTATTTCATTTTTATACACCTGGTGGATGAGATACTGCACCTAAAAATTCCACGTTTCAGGAAAAAGGAAAATGAACGTTTGACGAACAGTGTCTGGAGCCCAGGAAACTAGCTGACAACACAACGATCTGGACGCACGATTGGCCTCGACCACTTCCATCCTGTGCAAACTGAACTGAACTGAACTTCTTTCTTATT